AAGCAATGGCACACATGCTCATATACATGTTCGTATATGTGTATAGTTACTAGTGCATGTGTATATATATATATTCAAATATGTTTAAAGTGTCTGTATGTGTTTTTTTTGCAAAGGATTCATTCATCTAGTTATACATACATGCATATGTATTAAGTATACACGCTACAACGCACGCGTACAAATACACATATCCGAATGTGCCAGCGCAATCATCCGCCTGTTTCTTTTTATCATGAACAAACGCACACACATATACATATATATATTCGTTTGTTTTTATATACAAACATGTGTTTGTATATTTTACACGCACACATATATTTAACTACACGCATGTTCACAAGTTCGTATGTATAGGTGTGTAGAAATGAGTACACACACATACACATACATATATATACAGGGTTCACACACATACATATATATGAATATATATATATACATATATATATATATATATGTATATGTAAATATAGGTAGTACGCACATATATATATATATATGTATATATATGAATATAATTATAATATATGTCATATGTATGTGTGTATGCTTAGAACATACACATACATATATATATATACGCAAACATACATACATGCATGTATATGTTTAAAGTATACACGCTGCAAATACACAGACAGACTCCGAATGTGATAGCGCGCGCCTAGAGATGAGTACACACACATACACATATATATATACAGGGTGCACACACATACATATATATATATATGACTATATATATATGAATATGTAAATAAATGTAGTACGCACACACATATATATGTATATATATGAATATAATTATAATATATGTCATATGTATGTGTGTATGCTTAGAACATACACATACATATATATATATACAATCATACATACATGCATGTATATGTTTAAAGTATACACGCTGCAAATACACATACAGACTCCGAATGTGATAGCGCGCGCCTCCTCCTTACTCTCCTCCCACAGGGGCGGAAGTGAAATGGTACCGAATCCTGCACCTTACCCTCCCCCTCCCCCTCCCCCCCTCCCCTCCTCCTCCTCCTCCTCCTCCTCCTCTCCTCCTCCTCCTCCTCCTCCTCTCTCCTCCTCCTCCTCCTCCTGGTCCTCCTGGTCCTCCTCCTCCTCCTCTCCTCCTCCTCCTCCTCCTCCTCCTCCTCCTCCTCCTCCTCCTCCTCCTCCCCCCCCCCCCCCGCCCCCTCCTCCCCCTCCCCTTCCCCCTCCCCCTCCCCTCCTCATCCTCCTCCTCCTCCTCCTCCTCCTCCTCCTCCTCCTCCTCCTCCTCTGCTGCAGGTTCGGTCCCAAGAGACGGGGCGGTCGGCTCGCTGGCTGTGCCCCTCCCTTCTAGAGAGGCGCGGCTTGATGTGTGGAGTCGCCCAAGGGATGACGGAGGCATGTTGGCGGAGGAGGCGGACTGGGAGATGTGGGGTCCAGTCGGGAGGACGCTGCAGGCTACTTTAGTAGTGGAAACAATTGGTTTTCAAAATGTTTGGCTTTCGGAAGCTCTGCGTGGCGACGCCCCCGTCGCCACGCGTGCCCTCTGCGTGCCTGCGGGGGCGCCGCCACGTAGAAGTGCTGGAGACCGAGCATTTGGGGCGTCGCTACGCACGCCCTCTGCGTGGCTGCGACCATTTGTTAAAACCCTGAAACCAATTAAATTCACTAACAAAGTACCCATTATGTCTTCGACGACCCCGACCTTACCGCCCTTGGTAAACAGGATATTCGGGACTTACGTCGGTACGCCGCTCGTTGCCCTGAACGTCGTTCGGTTCCGACGGGTACGGCACCTGCTGACTTGTGGCAGATGCTTGTCTTTCCCAGATGGCGCGCGCAGGCTCGCCACGGACTTGGGTACGCTGACCAGCCCCCTCAGGTGACGACCTGTTGGTCCCTGCTGCATGTGGGATTATTGAACGTGCGTCCCTGCGCGGCCACGCCACTTGACTGGCACTTGAGTGAGGGGGGCTGCTCTTTTGTTTGAAGAACCAGCGAGCGGGTCCACGGGGGCGAAGGGTTGTGCATGTACTTTCCTACGGCTGAGAAAGGATTCTTTTCTCAGGTGGTGGGGAGGATGAGGAGGAGGAGGAGGAGGGAGGATGATGAGGAGCAGGAGGGAGGAGGAGGAGGAGGAGGAGGAGGAGGAGGAGGAGGAGGAGGAGGAGGATTCTTTTCTCAGAAACTTGCTTCTTCCCCGACTCCTGCTGCCCACGGGTTCGTCACCGGTCGGCGGTGGGAGGCGGCGGTGCCTCTTGCTCTCCAACACGTCCCGGCGTCTTCGGAGGGCTGGCCGCACGCACGGCTTATGTCTAGAAGACCTTGGCAACCCTTTTTCGGCAGCAGCGCGTACTCCAGATTTCGTAACAAAAGGGAGGGGGTCTGGACCCTCCAAGACAGGCCATTTCAGACCTCCCCCGTGGGAGAACCCTCCAAAACATAGTCCCCAGACCCCCCCAGGCCCTCCAAGATAGCCTGGAAGAGACCTCCCCCCCGCAATGAGACCCCCCTCCCTTTATTACAAAATCTGGAGTAAGATCCCATGAAGGTCTCAGTCAACTTGCACGCCTCGGACCAGGATGCCCCCTCCTGCACCCAACGCGCCGAGTACGCACACATTGTCTTGCCCTCTACTACAAGAGGCGTGGTTGTTCGGCCGCGCCAGGGGGGGGGATGATGGGCGACCCACTCATGGTTAGGATGCTCCTCGCTACCCTTCAGGGCCCTGTGTGGGGGTGGAGCTACGACCTTACGACATGGGATAATTCGGAAAAATCTGTGATTGCTTCCTGGGGCCCCACTTTCGCTTCTGAAATCCGCCGATGACCTTTACAACATCGTCCTGGCTGATGTGGGAAGCAGTTTTGGGGAGTTCATGACTAAGCTTCGGTCGGTCGACGGATGCCCGGACGATCGCCATGCTCTTTTTGGCCACGGGCAAAATGCAAGCAAGCAAGAGTTCATCTTCCACTTTGGCCAGAACGGTCCTACGTGTCGCCGACTTCTTCGTTCTACTAAGCCGCTGCAGGGCGCGTGTAAGGATGAGGCACGGTACTTGGGGCCCCACTTAGCATTAAACAATTCGGCGGCCCATGAAGTCACTCGTCGGCTCCTGGCATCGCGCACGTCGTTCCACAGCCTTGGGGGTATTTGGTCCCTTCGCTTCCCGTATCGGCGGAAGCGTCTGCTTTTGATGGGCTTTGGTCAAAATGCTCTACTTGGCGGTCTAGAGGCCCTGGTGCCCTCTGCTACCGATTACGTCCGTCTCGATCGGGCATTCGCTCCTCTGGATCGCACTGCTCTGATGGGGGAAGCTTCGACGGCGATGGAGATAGCGCAGGCCAGCTCGTCCGATCATGCAAGGAGCCTGACGACGGAGCAGGTGTTGGCGTGTTGGCGTCCCGCTCCGGATGCGATTGGGTTCCGTCCGAGGCGCCTTGGGATGTATCGGGCGGCGGGCGAAGGATCCGCTCCACAACTCGCAGGCCTTGTGTTGGCTGTTCGGCTCCACCCCCATGGACGTTCATCGCCCGCAGCTGTTCGAAGGTCGTCCTATTGGCTTCGCTTCCCCGTGGGTGAGACAGTTGCACTCTGATATCGTGGAGGCGGCCGCAGTCTTGGATAGCAGCGCCTTAGATGAGTTGGTCGACGACTTGGGGATCTTGGGGGACGCTGAGAAGGCCTGGGAATGTGTCTCGATGGTTTTCTCGGAACTCAGGGCTAGGGTGCACTCTAGAATAATACCGCCACCAGGAGGAGGACAAATGAGGCCGGTATTTGGCGACGACCGACTGGCAACGAAACGTGCCGTGCCAAGATCTTTGCCATAAGGGGGGCCAGCATTCGGGGGACAAGATGAATGGAACAAGGGGGAGGCGGAGTTGGGGGAGGAGAACAGTCTGGTATGTGGGATCTTGGAGTCAGGTTCTGTCTGCAAAGCGACCTTCTTTACAAAGCGTGTTCTGGTGAATCATCTACGTCGGGTCCATGGTCTTCACAATTTATGCCATCAGGTTACCCAGAGCAACATCTGCACTAACTGCAAACACGTCTTCGGCGGTAGGTCTAACGCAACTCGCCATTTGCAGGGTTCGCTGGCCAGGGGAAGCTGTGATTCACGGGGTCCCTCGACATGGAAGCCGACAGCGACGACCCCGGCCTCTTTGGCTTGCCCCCTGTGTCTGTACGAGGGCTCGAGCCTCTTGCAGTTGTGCGACCACCTGTGTGGCCACCTTCCACCATTCCTGCTGCCTGCACCCTCCCTTTCTGACGACCTACCAGACCACCCCAACCCAACCCGAAGACCCGAATTTCGGGTTTGGGGGGGTACGGGCTTCATGTGTGTTTTTTCGATGTTCCCCGACCCCCCCACACTGGCAATGGAGGGCAAATCGGGGCCCTCGTGTTGGGTTGGGGTGGTTTGGTGGGCGGTGACTTTCTGGGGAAGATGCCCGACGGGGGCGCGGCGAGCGGAGGATCGGGCAATGTGCTGCTGCCCTCCTGGCTCAGGCACCCCCAGCCTGGAACATACTCCAGACTTCGTAACAACAGGGAGGGGGTCTGGACCCTCCAAGACAGGCCACTTCAGACCTCCCCCCGTGGGAGAACCCTCCAAAACATCGTCCCCAGACCCCCCCAGGCCCTCCAGGATGGCCTGGAAGAGACCCCCCCCCGAAATGAGACCCCCCTCCCTTTATTACGAAACCTGGAGTACCCCGATCCCTATGCTGGGCATCTCCTCATCACGATGCCAATCTCAGGGATTCCCGCAGCTTCTCAGGGCGAACCCCTCAGATTGGCCTCGCCTCTTGGCGTGGCAGCCTCAGGGACAGGGATGGGTTCGAGGCTGGTGAAAGCAGCCATGCAGGCGGGGCGCGGAGCCCGAGGGGCACGACGGCGGCGTGGAGAAGGGCGGCGGGAGGGGCGGCCGCTCTCACAACGGCGGCGGCGGCGGCAGGCAGGAGCCGCTGCAGACGGCGACGAGCAGGCTCGTCCTGGTGATGCCCCGCGAGCTCGCCGACCTCTCGCCGGGGCGTGTATCTCAAGTACGGTCGGGGCGCTGAAGAAGGAACCCTTTTCGTTGGGGAGGGGCTCTCGGTGCTCCTTGATTGTTTCAAAGTTTGCCTCGGGTTTTCCCGAGGTTTTCCCTAGGAAGGGGCCTCGTTCCTTATTGGAGGGTTCCTTAGGTCAACGCCCCGACTGTACGAGGTGCTGGCGTCGGGCGGGCTGGTGGCAGCGTGCCAGCAGGCAGGGCGCGAGTACGACCAAGAGCCGAAGGAGATGGAGGAGCGGAGCAAGGGCGGCGAGAAGGTGGACTCCCCCAAGTGGAGGCCGCCGCACGTGTCCGTGGTCGTGGGCGCGGCGCACTACGGCGCGACGCTCACGCCGCCGGCTGGCCCCCAGCAGCAGGAGCAGGAGGACCTGAAGAAGAAGGTGGAGCTGTGGGGGGTCATCAGGCAGGGCGAGATGAAGGCGGCGGCGAGGGCTTGCCCGCACTCTCGGCCGAAGACCTTTCGGACGGAGGACGGCAGCCCGCAGAAGGGGGCCTTCTTCGTGACGCTCCATCGGGACACGCAGCCGGGCCTCCGGATGGCGGTGCTGTTCGAGCAGCCCGTGATCCTGGAGGGCGGGGTGTACCTGCCTGGGCCGGCCCCGCGGGGGCCGTTGGATCGCGAAGTGCCGTCACTGATAGGGAGCGATCGCGAGTGAGTCGAACGCAATCTGGTCTCGGATTCCAGCAGCTCGTGGCGAGAGGCATTTGTGGATCGGGATGCGCCTCTGGATGCCTTGGGAACCCGTTCTGTGAGAGCGCGAACGCACACTGTGCCTAGCTACGCTCAGCCTGAGCTGCCAGCTGTACCAGTCGTAATTCTGCCGCCTCACTCGCGAGGCTGTAGTAGAGGAAGGGGACGGGCGTCGTCCAGTCGGGTGTCGGCGGGTCGTGGGAGGGGGGGAAGACCCGTCCCGTGCCTGAGAGCCCACCCAGCAGGGCTGCGTGCCCGTGCGCTGCTGTGCGGCTAGGGCCAGTGCTGTTCTGCAGGAGTGCGGCGCTGGGCCGAGTGTCAGGCAAGTGGCATATAGTGCACCTCAGAATCCAGCACGCGTGTTCGGTCACGGGGTCTGCGCTGCCAGGCTCTCGCTGCATTGTGTGATCATCTTGGATTCCCCGAGTTCCAGTCCAGTCCTCCGCCTCCTCCTTCGCCTCCTCCTCCTGCCTCCTCCGCCCGCCCCATGTCCCGAGCCTGTGGCAGGGTCATCAGCTCGTCTTCGTCGTCGTCGTCGTCGTCGTTCTGGGTCGGCGGCACAGGCCGTAAGGCCTTTCCAACAAAATTCCAGAAAACTCCCGTATTGAAAGATCCACGATGTGCACTTACGGTGGAGGCGTTGGTTAAGGAGTGCGTCCAGGAGGCTCCAGACCCTGGGGGATTCCTTATCTTATGAGGGCGGTGGCGCTACCCATGGCCGACCCACAATTGGAGTGCCGCTGGCTTCCAGACCCTGGATTCCTTATCCAAGGTTCATATCACGTGCAGGTGAATATTTCACGAAAGGGTCCTCTATTGGGACGCACATGGACATACTAATACTAGATGTCCTCCTTGGAGGCGCGCGTCCGACCCGAACATATAGTATACCCATCTTGTAGTATATCGTTTCCCGAGCGGTGTGGCCAGAAAGCGCCCGCCACGACGCATACACTATAAGATTTCTCGGTGCGCGCGTCGCCCCTTGGGGGGCGACGCACATATAGTATAAGTATGTTGGGGTGTTGCCGATCTTATGCTGCCTAATTTACATAAATAAATAATTCCTTATCCAATGCCTCCGCCGTATCTTTGACGCCCGAGTCTGCCCGGGCTGCTGCCGAGCTCCGCTCCGACGGCTGCCCCCGCCTCCGCGCTCCGCTGCTCGCCCCTTTCACGCCCCTGAGCTGAAGTCAGGGCGGCGGCTGGGCATCGTCTCTGGATGGGCTACCCATCGGTCGCAAGAAGTAGGTAGAATCATGAAGCAGGAAGGCGTTGGAAGTAGATTGGGTTTCTGCCCGCCTCCTGAAGAGGAGGGAAAAGGGAAAACCACTCGACTCTTGAAGTAGGAAGGCGGCGAAACTAGATTGGGAACTGGGAGTCCAAAAATACCTACTTTCAACGACCAATGGGTACGGCTCGGGGACGCATGAAGGGGCCCCAGGACACACAAATACATACACGAATGAAAAGATTCCCCATACTTTCCCATATGTTCTGGGCTTTTGTCTCCCCCCCCATTTCCCATATTTTCCAATATTTTCTGGGGAGTCGACGATGAATTGTGTTTGTGTGTTTTTTCCCCTCCCGAACGCACCAACCTGGAGCAGCCCAGACCCGGGTCGGCCCTGGCCCTGTCGCGAAGCCTGGCCGACCCCTAGTGGCTCCCAATCCCGGGTCAGCGAAGGAGGGAACAAGGGAATCGGCCCCGAGTGGCTCCACTGCCTGGGTAATCCAAAGCTTTGTGGGCCCCGGAAACGGCAGGGCCGTTTTTGCACCGTTTCCAAAAAATGTCCCTTGAACATGGAAACGGCAAAAAAACGGCGACCGGAAACTGCAACAAAAACGGCTCAAGGATTGGAACCGGAGCCGGAACTGGTCAAAGAACGGCGACGGAACCTGTAAACAAACGGCGTCGGAACCGGCAAAAAAACTGGAAAACGGAACCGGTAAAAAAACGGCCCTGTCGTTTCCAGGGCCCACTAAGATCCAGAGGAGATGGCCTAACCCTGAGGTCCGACGTAGCAACAAAGCTGTAACATCTGGGAAAATCACAGCCTCAGCACCTTGTTGCGCATTTGCTTGAGCCAGATCCATGTGTAGGGCCCTTCGGCCCGAAACAAAGCAAAATCGCCCGTTGCAAAACAAAAATCTCAGGGGACCCCCGTTAGCGCTGACACCCGTTGCCAACAAGTACGGACAGTGCTACTCCCCAGACCCCTTCCGGGGTGCGTTCTGACTACAAGTGCGAGGCGAATCCAGCCGTGGCGACTAAGACCGCCAAGGAGGCCCAAAAAGGCGACGACGAGGGCAGGACCATAGCGGTATCGGCACCTTGTCTTAGGTCGGGCATGTCCCCCTACAGGCGAATTTGGGAGGACAACGTAGCCCAAAAATGCTCAAACATGATCAAACAATAATGGAAAGATCGTTCCCCGACTATTTGTTGACTAGTTCTGAATGTTCCTCCTGTAGAGTTACGTTGTCCCCATCGTACTTACAGACCGCATCCCATAAATAATTTCGAGCACCCGGAAAAATGTCGAAAGAGTGTCGGAAGAGTGTCGAAACAGTGTCGGGCGAGTGATTGCCCGACTTCAACCTTGTCCCCGTCTGACGAGGGGATTTCGGCTGATCCCTCCGTTCGCGCCGACCCCAGCCACGCGAGCCCCGACGTGGGACACAGGGCGGACGTTGCCTTAGGTCACGCACGTCCTCCTTGAAGGGGCCCTGGGACACACAAATGAACGAACACAAACAACACAATTCCCCATATTTTCAAATAGTTCCTTGGTTCTCTGAATGAGCTGACGATTCATGGTGTCCGTGTGTATGTTTCCCTCCTTACACCTACAGGCGGACCTTGGGGGAAAAATGATAAACATAAGATGCCCCAGCACACTTACAAATAGTAGAAAGATCGGCTCCTGACTATGTTCTTACTGTTTTAAACTATCCCCCCTGTAGAGGGATGGCCCGACTGAAGCGTTGCTGGGTCCCGAAGAAGTGGCCCCCGGAGACGGAAAGCGGCCAAAGAGACCTCCTCGAGCCCAGAAGCTCGACCCTCGCCCCGTCCCCACCCCCAGAGATCCAACGCAAGTTGGCGCGCGCACAAGGAGGTAGAAGGAGGGGGGAGGGCCTCTTAGACGAAGTCTGCTTCTTAGAAGGCGCCGGCCTTCCATCTATAGATGAGGCCCGCGCCCATGAAAAAGCAGTGGTGCTTCTAAGAAACCCTCCCCCCTCCCCCAGCCCCCCTCTGCGCGTGGCTGAGTATTGGACAAAAATCAGGACAGAAATTTGTCGCAGATTTCCGCTCCCGGGGGCCCTCGCTGGGCCTCGGGACCGTCAAAAAAACAATTCGGGATGAAACACCGGTCCTGGGGAGTAGGTCGAGATTTCTGGCGACCCCGTATTGACAAAATCAAGACGGAGGTTTTTCTGACATTCCGGCTCCTGGGGGCCCTCGCGGGGCCTCGGGACCGTCAAAAAACGACTCGGGATGAAACACTGGTCCTGGGGAGTGGGTCGAGACTTCCGGCGACCCCGCATTGGAAGGATCACGACGTCGGATCTCTGGGCATTCCTGCCGGCCAGAACCAGCACTGGACAGCCTCAGACTCCAGATGCCTCCCAGATGGGGTTCGAGTAGACGGGGTTGGAGGATCGCGTCGCATCGCCGATGCATCGGCGATGCATCGGTGACGCATCGGCGACGTGGCCGACGCATCGGCGACGTCGTCGTGGGGAAAAGCGGGCTCGGCTTCAGCCCGAACTCGGCGGTGCATCGACGATGTGGCGCGATCCACCGACCCCGTCTGCTCGGACCCCATCTGGAAGGCCAAGAGGAGGAGGAGGAAGAGGAGGAGGAGGCGGAGGAGGAGGCGGAGGAGGAGGAGGAGGAGGAGGAGTGGCGCTGACCCCCCCCAGGGCACCCGACGTCTCGAACTGTATATCAGCACGCAGGCCCCCGACGTCTCCCGACCACCTCCCCGGGACCGGCTTCTCCTCCCCGGGTCGTTTTCCGACGGCCCTGAGGCCCGGGGTCGCTCATGCGTGCAGCTGGGGGCCTCCTCCTCCAGCCTCCTCCTCCTCCTCCAGCCTCCTCCTCCTCCAGCCTCTCCCTCCTCCTCCTCCTCCTCCTCCTCCTCCTCCTCCTCCTCCTCCTCACACCATAAATTTCGGATCCGAAAAGCTCCGAGGCCAAAGCTCCCGAGGCAAAAACGTTTTTGGCCACACGGGCCCCAACCAGAGGCCTCAAGCGGGCCAAACGGGAAACAAAACCCCGAGTTTTTTGCTCACGCTTCTTTTGCTTCGAGCTCCTACCAGCAACACGTCTAGGGCGTCCCACACAATCATCCACTCCTAGGTTCGCCGCTGAACTGACTAAGGGGCCAGCCAGGCCACCTAGGGCCTGAGCGAGATCACGCCCAAGCGCCTTAGAAGAAGCGATCAAGGATCTCTTTCCCACATCTTGACTCACCTTAGCTCCGATCCCCTCCTCCAGAATAGAAGCCAAGGCTCTGACCACCGGTGGCAGATGCTCCACAATGTATCGCCGCGACCCCGTAGCACTGAGGCCAGAGTCGTCGATATACTAGAGCTGATGAGGCCGAGCTGTTGAGATTGCGGCGCCAGGCGGCGTCAGTCTTGCAACCATCAGCGTCTGGAAGATCGCTGACGGCTCTTCTTCTTTCGCATGGCGAGCCGTGTTGGTACGCGTCGGTCGCTCCGATGGTCAGATGGTCGAAGGAAATATGGATTGCTCACCATCGGACCTACCCCCACTGTCTCTCGCTCCCCGAACTCAGGGAGGCGTGGGACGTTGGTTTCTCGGGAGACTCCCCTTTGTGGCGGTCGGTTTCGGGGCCGATCACTGCGTTGAGGAAATCATGTGAGCGGATTTCCTGGTCCATGCCTTCCTTCGCTGTTTTTAGAACTGACAAGGGTGAGGAGGTTAAATTGACGGAGTTCTCGCCTACTTTGATTAAGAATTTGCTTCGCAAAGCTGTTGTGAGAGGTCTCGAGTGGGACATGGGGGCTCGTCTGAACATGTCTGGGCGTGTTTGCACTGATGGGGTCCTTAGTTATCTCCAGAGCACGAAGTATTCTGCCTTTGAAAAAGGCTGTCTGAGGGCGCTTTTTTGCAACGCGGTGTGCACTCGTACGCGTGCGGCAGACCTAGGCTACCAGCTGCAGAACGTGCTGTGCCCGCTGTGTGGCGAGGCGCCTGACACGCTCCGCCATAGATTGTGGGACTGCCAGTGTCCTGATGTAGTCGAACTAAGGAACTCGATTGTGCCCATAAAGATCCAGAAGTGGGCGAGCCAGGTGGACGACAACTTGGCTGTCTTTGGGGTGTTTCCTCACCCAGGTGATGTTTTTCCTGCTCCGTTGGATAAAGGTGGTATTCAGGTGGAGTGGGCCCAAGGAGAGATTGGGGACCTTCATAGTGTGTTCGCTGGAGACATGTTCGTGGATGGATCGTGTTCGCGTTACATTGTGAAAGAATTGAACCGAGCTGGCTGGGCTTTCACTTTGGTTGACAGGGAGACTGGGCTTGAATTAGTGAGAGTCAGAGGACCAGTTTGGGGGCCATGCCCCCAGACTCCACAAGCAGCCGAGTTCTTTGCCATGTCTGTCGCCATTCAGTGGAGCACAGGCCAGTGTGACATTTTTTCGGACTGTTTAAATGTTGTGAATTTTTTCAGGATGCCTTGGATGGAGCAGATATCAGCCAGGTATATGTTTGCTGGCGTGGCTCAGTTTGCTCGTCCGCACATGCACAAAGTCACGATATCCAAAGTGAAAGCCCATCTTGCTGTCGATGAAGCGGTCGACGAAAGGGATCGCTATTTAAGACAGGGCAATGCGTGGGCTGATACCTCGGCCAAGGTTGCGGCATCCTTGCATCCTGCCCCGTCGGACGAGCTGCGTGAGGGCCTGGATCTTTCCGTGGCCGTGGCCCGAGCTGTAGGACGTTTGGGTGCTAGATTAATGTCTTTGTGGCCTAGATTAGACTTGGGCAAAGATTTAGAGCGAATCAAGCCACCTGCTAAAGAGCAGGCTCCTGCGAAACCTTCACATGAATGGCATTGGGTAGGCTCGTATTGGCAATGTGCTACGTGCTTGCGTGGTCGTCGTGGCACGTTTGGCGTCGAACCTCCTGGTGGGTCATGCTCGCTCGCTTTGCATGTGCACCCGTCAGTACTTCGTGATCTAGGGCATAGATGTGTGCTCATAGACTGTACGGATGGTAGTTTCGTTTGCATTTGCCACAAATGTGGTTATTACACGTCGGGGGGTCGGCTTGATCGCCTAGGTAAGAAGTGTGAGCCTTCGAAACGGGCCTCGCATTGTAATCCTTGGAGTCGTCTCCAAAAGGGCCTCCACCCGTCATACAATAAACCAGGAGTGCGGGTGGATGTCAATACGTTTTGTCAGGTTTAATTGTGCCTCTGCTCAGGGTGTGTGATGTGGTTCACTTTCATGCCACTGCTGTTGCACGTCCCTTGCTCGCTGCTGCGCGGCCACGGGGTGAAGGCTCCTTGTGGTGACGGCGGCACGGCGGGCAGTCTTTGGCACTTCGTTTGCGAGGACGCTTGCGGCGGCGTGCGCACGGAAGGAGCAGATCCGCTGCACTTAAGGGCCCCTTAAGTGCAGCGGGCTGTCTTGGCCTCCATCGCGTCGGTGCTCGAGCTGGCTCGTAGGGGCCTGCATCCCAAGGCGGGCGGGCCCCTCGAGCCGCTTGTTTTCTCGGTGCTCGGGGTGCCTGCGATGCTCAGCAGGCGCCCGAGCCCGAGGCACCTGAATAGTGGGCGGGTGCGGGCGGGGGGCGCGGTGCGAGTGGGGACTGCCCGGCGTTGCGCCGTTAGTGACCCTCGCACCGTTGCTCCCCTGCCCCGCGCACGGCGCGGAGAGCGCCCCTTGTTGGATGAGGGCCCTCTCTCGTTCCTTTTTCGAGGCGTGTTCGTGATTCACCTGCACGCTCTCGGCACTGTCCTCGCTGTCCTCCTCCCCATGTTGCGCTGGATGCTTGTTGAAAAATTTGGTCAGGACTTTCGCCAGCACGGCTGGCATGGCTAGTCGGCCACGGGCTGACTGTAACACGTTAAATCTTCCCTGCCAATTAGCTTGCTGCAAGCAGCTGCCGCGGCTCGCTTGTTGCCTGTACTTTGTTTCCTGTGACTGACCCTGTACAGTGGGTCCGTGTCTTTCCTGGAGTGCGGGGTGGATCGATCGGTCCTCCTGACTGCTGCTCCTGGATCCGTTTGCAGCTGCCGTAGAGTGTGGCGCCGACGCCTACTCTGCTCTGTAGTTGCTTGCTGGGTCTCTGCATCACGGCCCCTTCGGAGGGCTCCCGTGTTGCACCCTGCTCGGGTGGCGGCTGCAGGTTGTATAGCTCTTCCTCGCCGCCCAGTCTGCTGTCCTTGTATAGTGGACAGCCCGAGCCGTGCTGCTGCGCAGTGATGTGCCTTCACCGCTGCGCTCCTGTCTTTTTTTTTCTCGCTGGCACTCGCCACGCCAGCGGAGTCATGTGGCTGATCATGGGTCGACCCCAAAAAAAAATCCTCCTCCTCCTCCTCCTCCTCTTGGTTTCTTCTTCGAGAGGCTACGAACCAAAACCTCCGCCCCGAGTTTTGGTTTTCGCGGCGCCCGCGGCGCCCGGGCCGGCTGCGCGCCGGCCCCACAGGAGGTGCAGGCGGGGTGCGCAGGGCTGGCCCGGCCAAGGGCGGGCGCTGGTCTGCCGTCGGCAGGAGGAGTGTCTCCAAAAGGCAGTCAACAGAATGGCCTGGGGACGATGCCTTGCCGTCGCTCGGACGTGCATTTCCCGTGCCTTTTTCGGTCTCGTGCGTGTTGTTTTCCTCGATGGTCCAGGATGGTCCTCGTGGTTTCTCGCCGAGCAAAAATGCACACGTCCAAGCGATGCCAGGATGATGTGATGTTCTGCTGTGTTCGAATAGTTCTGCTATTTCCTGCTATGGTCGAACACTTTTGGACATTTCTTGTGTTTCCTCCCTCCAAAGCCGGCCTGTAGGGGGACATGCCCGACCTGACGCCGGTGTCCCAGAGCCGGCGCCCCCCCCTCCCCCAAGGGAGTCCAGAATCGAATCAACAAGTCGGACCGGAAGTCGACATGAATCGGATCGGCGGAACGCGGCAGCCGAGACGGGCGGAGCCGAGCGGGCAGACATCCGCGGGCCAGTAGGCCCCCACTGAGAGATCTGAGCCCGGATCGGAATCCGACGTCGCATCGCATCGGAATCGGCAGCCGAATCCAGATCGAATCGAATCGAATCGAATCGGAGTCGAAACGAGTCCCTTCCCCCCCCCGATCCTCAGCCGCACCGCCTGCCCCGCGGCGTCCACCGCGACGGGGCCCTCCGGCGGTTCCGCCCCGAGGGCGCTCGCCAGCCTCGAACGGGCCGCGGGCGAGGGGAGAAGCGAGAAGGCGAATGACCAGCCTCGCCGGAACTGATCCCCATCCCTAAGATGGGCGCGCCAAAAGCGAGGACAAAGTTGGGGACGTGCCCTCAGACACCGAAGGAATCCTCAAGATCGGCATCGGGGTGAGGCGATGCCAAACACAGGGATAAGGCCATGCTTCAAGATGGTCAGAGAAGGCCTCCTCAGAAGCGAGAAGGCCTTCTCAGAAGCCCTCGCGCCTTGTAAGCGCTTCCTGATTCGGCGTGTCGCAGTTGGGCAGAAAGGGGGGGAGGGGGGGGGACTGGCTTCGGATCTCTGCTCAGTGCGACTGCTTCCAGCCGTGCGCCCCGTGGTGGAGGGACTCCACCTGGCTCGAAAGACAGGCACCAGAAACAGCAGCCAAGATCTGTGCAATTGCCTGTTCCTCGAAGAGCGGGCCACGGGAGAAGGAGCACGGTCGGGCCGGGGAAAAAGATCGTGGCCGGTTCGGGGAGGGCACCCTCTCGTGTTCTCCGCGTCCGTTGGATGCCCTCGCGCCTCCCCCGGGGAGGGTGCCCTCAGGCCCTCTGGCTGTGCCGTGGCCCGCTCCACGGCTCCCTGGATCGCGCGCGGGCTTCCTTTCCTGGATCGGCGCTGGACCCCCCCCCCAGGAGGAGGAGGAGGAGGAGGAGGAGGAGGAGGAGGAGGAGGAGGAGGAGGAGGAGGAGGAGGAGGAGGAGGAGGAGGAGGAGGAGGAGGAGGCGGGAGGAGAGAGGAGGAGGAGGCTGGAGGAGACTGGAGGAGACTGGAGGAGGAGGAGGCTGGAGGAGGCTGGAGGAGGAGGCCCCCGGCTGCACGCAGGAGCGACCCCCGAAGCAAAAGAGTGGCCTTCGGTCCGCGGCTTTTTGGGGGGCGCGCGGCGGGGCTGGCCAGACCCGAGCGCGCGGGCCGCCGCCGCCGCACCGCGCTGGGGCGATCGGGGCCCCCGTCGGGGGGGCCCCACGAGCCCGCACCAGAGGTCACTCCGGCGGGAGGAGGAGGAGGAGGAGGAGGAGGAGGAGGAGGAGGAGGAGGAGGAGGAGGAGGAGGAGGAGGAGGAGCAGCAGGAGGAGGAGGAGGAGCAGGAGCAGGAGCAGGAGGAGGAGGAGCAGGAGGAGGAGCAGGAGCAGGAGGAGGAGGAGGAGGAGGAGGAGGAGGAGGAGGAGGACCGAGTCGCCGCCAGGATCACAGGCGGACTTGATTGGACAGGACACTCGTCGCCGTCGTCGTCGTCGTCGTCGTCGTCGTCGTCGTCGTCGTCGTCGTCGTCGTCGTCGTCGTCGTCGTCCGTCGTCGTCGTCGTCGTCCGTCGTCGTCGTCGTCCGTCGTCGTCGTCGCCCTCGCGCCCCCCAAAAGGTCGGACCCTCGACCTCTCCAGGGGCGGTGCCTGGCACGCGGCCTGGATTGGGCAGGACACGCGAGAGGACCTCTCGGAGGGCCACAGCGCCATACAGTCGGGGGCTTGACCTAAGGAACCCAACATAAGGAACGAGGCCCCTTTTTCCCATGAATTAAACTTCGATTGCCGATCGAAAACATAAAGGAAAACCGGAGGCAAGCTGCGAAACACTTAAGGAACGCGGAGCCCCTCCCCAACGAAAAGGGTTCCTTCTTCAGGGCCCCGACTGTCGGAGTGTGAGAAGGCACGTGTCGCGAGGCACAGGGCACATGGGCACCCTTGAGCTTTGAGCTGGCGGGGTCGAGCTACTGATCCGGGCCGGCTGCATGTTGCTCCCATCGTACTCAAGGACCACATCACGGAAACGGTTCCGAGCACCTGGAGAATTGTCGGCAGAGTGGCGAAGCAGTGTCGGACGGGTGCCTCCCAGGGCCCGACGCGCGAGAACCATCGAAATGATGCACTGTTGTGGTGCTCGAGATGCTTTCTGGTGGTCAAGGCTGAAGTCGACTGGAACATCATAACGCCAGGAAAGGGGGGGAGGCCAGCGGCTATGCAGGATACCCGCGCAGATCTCAAGAGAAGATGCACCCGTCGATCAAAAGAGGGCAGAAGCATGGAGTGCGAAGGCGTCGAAGTAGATGTGCGTTTCCGCCCGCCCCCATGACGAGGAAAGAGAACGTGAAACCAATCGACTCTTGATGCAGGAAAGAGCCGGAAGCAGATTCGGACTCGGGAGTTCTGAGATACCCCCTCTCAACGACCGACGAGTTCAGCAGCCCCGTGTCGGAAGGCTGCGCGGTAAGGATGCGAGGGGCACTGAAGGGCCAGGTTGACGTTCTTCGGGCGAGGCTGGCCAGCGAAAAGTCGCTGAGGATGGGCCGAAGGGGCTGAAGGGGAACTGGAACACACAAATAAATACACACAAATAAAAAGATTCCCCATATTTTCCCATATTTTCTGAATTTTTGTCTCCCCGCCCAATTCCCATATTTTCCCATATTTTCCTGGCACTCGACGATGAATTGTGTCTGTGTGTTTTTTTCCCTCCTGACACACTGACGCCTCTCGCGCGAGGTGGGCCGGCGAAGGTCGCCAAGGAGGGGCCGAAGGGGTCAGGCTGCGAGGGCAGGTCTGGAGAGCTGCTCGTCCTTGCCGTGCGGGCCTACACCCTGCGAAATGCTTAAGAAACCATGGGTTAAGAAATTCATGGTCTCAGAATCTGAGTACACACCCAGCATTTCTATTGGAATCTTAGGATTTACATTGAAACATTAAGAATCATCGGGACTCTGGCCGAAAACGTAAGTTTTCTTGAGCATCGCCTGGGGTGTACAGTCATCGGCCTGCCATAAGGAACGATACATAAGGAACGAAGCCCCTGTTTTTCCGAGGAGCAGCACGAAAAGAACGCCATGTCACAAATATATTGCGTATGCAAGGAACGGTGCAGAGCGCATGCAAATCTAGGGAACGACCGAGCCCCTTTTGAAAAGCAAATGTTCCTCGTTCAAGCCGCTCACTGTACTGCATGCGCCTGTGTGCCCCCCGGCGCCCACAGAGTCGAATCGATAAGTTGGCTCGGGGGTCGAAGTGAATCGGATCGGCGCAAGTCGGCAGCCGAGTCGGGAAAAGCCGAATCGGCGAAAATCGGCAGGCTAATCAGGCGTCCGTGGACGAATCGGAACCCCAAATCGAATCGAATCGGAATCGGAAGCAATCGGAATCGAACCGCCGAGGCTTCGCGATGGCCCCGCCTCTCGAAGCGAAAGGGGTCGGAACGAGCCCTGCCGAGGCCTCGCGATGGAGCCCCCGGACAGCTCGCGCAGCTCCGCGCACATGCCGATGGCGTCGATGATCGGCACCGCGCCGCTGGAGCGGCAGCACTGGGAGGCGCCCAGGGGGCTCTGCAGCCAGCGCTCCAGCACCTGGAAGAAGACTTGTATGTTCCGTCGGCGGCGGGGCGGGGCAATCCGCTCCAGCGTGGCAGCGATCCAGGAGCACCACAGAGCCAATTGGCCGGCATGCAGGAGGGGGGGGGAGGAACAACGGGGCGGCCGCGAGGGGAGGGGGAGGGCGAGCGCTTAGAGGCGGGAGACTCTACAGGCGGATCTGGGGCAATAAATGCTCATAAATAACCAAAAATAATCAAAACATCGTCCCCAGACAATTGTTCTACTACTTTTGAATATGCCTCCCGTAGCGGGGCAGGACCGACTTCAGCCCAGAAAAACATAAATCAAAAAAAACGCCATAAACAGAACACCTTTTGGGCTCCGCGTGGATTTCTTGGCTCCGCGCCGGAACCCAGACCTCGGTGCGCGGAGCGCGCCAGGGGCGGCGCCAGAGGCGCCGCCAGGGGGGGCCCGCCGCGGATCCAAGAAATCCGCGCGGAGCGCCAACAGTTGTGTGTCTGGTGTGTGTTCCTTTTTCTAGGCTGAAGTCGGGCCTGTCCCTCGACAGGAGGAAAATTCAAAAATGGTCCAAAAATTGTATGGGGACGACGTTTTTGAAGGGGCCCTGGGACACACAAATAAATACACACACATAAAAGTATTCCCCATATTTTTCCATATGTTCTGGGATTTTTGCCTTCCCACCCACTTCCCATACTTTCCCATATTTTTTCAGGGGAATCGACGATTCATTGTGCCTGTGTGTTTTTTCCCCTCCTGAGTTTTGACTGTTTGTGGCTTCCTTCATTGTTTTCTAGCCTGTGTTTATGGCGTTGTATCTCCTTCTAGGCTGAAGTCGGGCCTGTCCCTCGACAGGCGGAAAATTCAAAAATGGTCCAAAAATTGTGTGGGGACGACGTTTTGACTGTTTGTGGCTTCCTTCATTGTTTTCTAGCTCGTGTTCATGGCGTTGCATCTCCTTCGAGCACCTCCGCCAGGCCGCGCGGGCCACCCGCCGCGCCCCGGGACGCCATGCCGCGGGGGTGCCGTGCCCCGGCGGGCGCGCCGGGGGGTGCCCGAGAGGTCGGGGCGGTTGGGGGCGGTTTGGGGGGTCCAAGGTTCGGGTCGGGCGAAAGGGGGGGATAGCAAAGGGGGGGTTTGAGAATCAGCTCGCGTAGCTGATTTTCCCGGCGCCTCCCGGCGCCGGGAGGCGCCCATGCATCGAGGAATGGGCCCCTCGGTGAGGCCGAAATCAGCTGCATGCAGCAAATTTCGTAACCCCCCCTTTCCCAATCCCCCCCCTTTCGCCCGACCCGAAAGGTCCGGGGGGGCCGAGGTTAGAGGGTAGAAAATCCACCCCGAGAATGACCACCCCGACACCCGAAACCGTTTAGTGAACGCACCCAAAGAAGGGATCAGACGGGGCAGGGCTGTGCAGGAAGCGCCCAGAGCCGATCAGTAAGCGCCGATTGTCCAGTCTGGGTGGTTTTTCCTCCCTTGAGAGGCGTAGCTGCAGCTCTGCAGGGCGGCTCGAGCCAGAGTGGCAAGGCGGGCCTCTTTTGACGCCGCCCCGACGTGAGGCGCGGGCTTGACGCGTTCTGGCAGGGGGCCCGCCTGCTTTTTCTTGCCGTTGCTCGGGCATCAAGTGCGAAGCCTGTCACGTGCGGTGAGGCCTAAGGTTGAAAGGGTCCCTGGCTGAGGCGAGAAGCAGAGCAAACTAAGCCGCGGACGGGTGCAGAAAAAGAAAGGCAAAAAGACAGGAAAAGTACAGGAGCCCTCACGGGCTAGAGTAACACAGTCTGCGGCTGTTGGAGGGGAGATGTCAGTCAGAAAGCAGTGAGCTCAACCTTACCCGAGTGCAGAAACAACTAGAGCAGTGTAGAAAAACGCGTGTAGAAAAACGCGTGGAGTGCAATTACAAGTGGTGCGAAAAAGGCAGGTTAAAAAACCAAAAAAGAAGCCTGGGCTCATGCCCTTTCCGGGAACAACTGGCGACGCAGCGTCAGTCGCCACTACCTTCTCGAATGGCTGAGCCCTTGCGGGTCATTACCTCCGATACCTCCCCCCCGCCTGGGCCAACATGGTGGGTGCCAGCACGCAGCGCCGAGAGGCGATGCCGACATGGCTCCCGTGCCACTCGGCCTTTGAGAACGATCTCATCTGGCGATCCAGGTTGAAGCGGAACGCCGCCGGATAGGCAAGCCTGCCGCAGGCGCCCAATACATGATCATCTAACTGACCTGATGGCCAATGCGAGCCCGACACTACAGGCGATGAGGAGCACGACTCGCACGAGCCGTAATCCGACTCTGGATGCAGCGGACAAAAACAGCAACAGGCCTTCTGGCGGTCGGAAAACTGACTGGCCTTCCGGACTCGAGTCCGCAGACCGTGACTGCGGGCAGATAAGGGTTAGGGCGGCCAGAGAGGGGGGTGTCCAAGAGGGGGGGTCGCAAGAGCTCCAAGTCATGGCCGGCGGCACTCGCGCGGCCCAAGGGCTGGCCAGGCAGCAGCCTGGCGGTCGAACCAAAAAAGCATGCATCCTGGCGATTGCTGGCAGGTGGCTCCGACTGGCGATGCCAGTGTGGATCCCATGCCTCTTGGCGCTTGAGGGGGACCTCCTGCACCTCCAAGCCCCGAGGCTCTACCCGAAGCCCCTCCTCCTCATCCTCCTCCTTCTCCTCCTCCTCCTCCTCCTCCTTCTCCTCCTCCTCCTCCTCCTGCTCCTGCCCCCCCTATCTTGGGCGTTGGCAGAACCGGGCTTAGTGGAACCTGGTTTAGTGATCTGTACTGGGGGCGCCCCCCCGTCCCATTTCCACTAACCCGAACTGCGGTTACCCAAAAAAACACCAGCTATGGCAAACCTGGTTTAGTGATTCTGGCCAATTCAAAGGCTCTGGGGCCCTACCACTAACAGGGTCCCCTTACCTGGGGTCCTGCCCATACCCGACTATGGGCCATGGTCAAACTGGCGAGTCTGACAAAGTCTTCGGAACTGACGTGCTCCGAGCGAGCAGCGCGTGCGCGGTCCACGCGCGACGCAGCGTCAGTCGCCACTACCTTCTCGAATGGCTGAGCCCTTGCAGGTCATTACCTCCGATACCTCCCCCCCGCCTGGGCCAACATGGTGGGTGCCAGCACGCAGCGCCGAGAGGCGATGCCGACATGGCTCCCGTGCCACTCGGCCTTTGAGAACGATCTCCTCTGGCGATCCAGGTTGAAGCGGAACGCCGCCGGATAGGCAAGCCTGCCGCAGGCGCCCAATACATGATCATCTAACTGACCTGATGGCCAATGCGAGCCCGACACTACAGGCGATGAGGAGCACGACTCGCACGAGCCGTAATCCGACTCTGGATGCAGCGGACAAAAACAGCAACAGGCCTTCTGGCGGTCGGAAAACTGACTGGCCTTCCGGACTCGACTCCGCAGACCGTGACTGCGGGCAGAGAAGGGTTAGGGCGGCCAGAGAGGGGGGTGTCCAAGAGGAGGGGTCGCAAGAGCTCCAAGTCATGGCCGGCGGCACTCGCGCGGCCCAAGGGCTGGCCAGGCAGCAGCCTGGCGGTCGAACAAAAAAAGCGAGCATCCTGGCGATTGCTGGCAGGTGGCTCCGACTGGCGATGCCAGTGTGGATCCCATGCCTCTTGGCGCTTGCGGGGGACCTCCTGCACCTCCAAGGCCCGAGGCTCTACCCCAGGCCCCTCCTCATCCTCCTCCTTCTCCTCCTCCTCCTCCTCCTCCTGCTCCTGCCCCCCCTATCTCGGGCGTTGGCAGAACCGGGCTTAGTGGAACCTGGTTTAGTGATCTGTACTGGGGGCGCCCCCCCGTCCCATTTCCACTAACCCGAACTGCGGTTACCCAAAAAAACACCAGCTATGGCAAACCTGGTTTAGTGATTCTGGCCAATTCAAAGGCTCTGGGGCCCTACCACTAACAGGGTCCCCTTACCTGGGGTCCTGCCCATACCCGACTATGGGCCATGGTCAAACTGGCGAGTCTGACAAAGTCTTCGGAACTGACGTGCTCCGAGCGAGCAGCGCGTGCGCGGTCCACGCGCGACGCAGCGTCAGTCGCCACTACCTTCTCGAATGGCTGAGCCCTTGCAGGTCATTACCACCGATACCTCCCCCCCGCCTGGGCCAACATGGTGGGTGCCAGCACGCAGCGCCGAGAGGCGATGCCGACATGGCTCCCGTGCCACTCGGCCTTTGAGAACGATCTCCTCTGGCGATCCAGGTTGAAGCGGAACGCCGCCGGATAGGCAAGCCTGCCGCAGGCGCCCAATACATGATCATCAAACTGACCTGATGGCCAATGCGAGCCCGACACTACAGGCGATGAGGAGCACGACTCGCACGAGCCGTAATCCGACTCTGGATGCAGCGGACAAAAACAGCAACAGGCCTTCTGGCGGTCGGAAAACTGACTGGCCTTCCGGACTCGACTCCGCAGACCGTGACTGCGGGCAGAGGAGGGTTAGGGCGGCCAGAGAGGGGGGTGTCCAAGAGGAGGGGTCGCAAGAGCTCCAAGTCATGGCCGGCGGCACTCGCGCGGCCCAAGGGCTGGCCAGGCAGCAGCCTGGCGGTCGAACAAAAAAAGCAAGCATCCTGGCGATTGCTGGCAGGTGGCTCCGACTGGCGATGCCAGTGTGGATCCCATGCCTCTTGGCGCTTGCGGGGGACCTCCTGCACCTCCAAGCCCCGAGGCTCTACCCCAGGCCCCTCCTCCTCCTCCTCCTCCTCCTCCTCCTCCTCCTCCTCCTCCTCCTCCTGCTCCTGCCCCCCCTATCTCGGGCGTTGGCAGAACCGGGCTTAGTGGAACCTGGTTTAGTGATCTGTACTGGGGGCGCCCCCCCGTCCCATTTCCACTAACTGGAACTGCCGTCACCCGAAAAAAACACCAGCTATGGCAAACCTGGTTTAGTGATTCTGGCCAATTCAAAAGCTCCGGGGCCCTACCACTAACCGTGTCCCCTTACCTGGGGTCCTGGCCATACCCGAGACCGGTGCGGGAGTTCCGACGAACCCCTCCTGAAACCTTCCTGAGGAAGATGTTTTGGAAAGTTGTCCCAGGGAGGGGGGGTGGGGGGGGGCGAGGAAGGTTTTAGGAAGGTCATTCCAAAAACCTTCCAAGAACCTTCAAAAATCTCCCCCAAACCTTCCAAAACAACTTCCAAAAACCTTCCAGTATTTAGCGAAACCGCCCAATACATTCTAAACACCTTCAAAAGACCTTCCAACACCAATGTTTGTAAAAAAAACTTCCAATAACCTTAGGAAAACAAGAAATCCATACACCTTCCTAAAACCTTCCGATAACCGTCCAGCATTTAGCAAAACCGCCCAATACATTCCAAAAACCTTCCAAAAACCTTCCGAAACAACCTTCAAACAACCTTGCAACAACCTTCCAAAACACTTTCAAACAACCTTCCGGAAACCTTCCAAACAACCGTCCAAAAACCGTCCGGAAACCATCCAACAAGAAAAACCTTCCCCAAACCCTCCAACAACAAAACCTTCCGAATAACCTTCCTAATGGAAGCTTCCTCAGGAAGGTTCCAGGAGGGGTTGGCCCCAAAAACTTACAAAAGCCTTCCTGAGGAAGGTTCTAGGAAGGTTCTCTTGAAAAGTTCCAGGGATCCTGGAACCATCCTGAGCAAGGTTTTAGGACAATTGTTTGGATGGTTCTAGGAATCCCGGAACCTTCCTGAGGAATGTTTTAGGAAGGTTTTAGGATTGTTTTTTACATAAACAACCTTCCACACATCCTTCCAAAAACCTCCCAACAACCTTCCAAAAATAACCTTCAAAACACCCGTCCTAAAACCTTCCAGCATTTAGGGAAACAACTTAATACATTCCAAACACCTTCCAAACACCATCCAATTCTCTTTCCAAACAACCTTCCGGCAACCTTCATAAAACCTTCCAACAACCTTCCGACAAGCCATCCAATAACCTGCCAAGCACCTTCCAAACAACCTTCCTAAAACCTCCCTCAGGAAGGTTCCAGGAGGGGTTGGCCCAAAAACAGCCCTGAGGAAGGTTTTTGGAAGATTTTCTGAACAAAAAATGTTCCAGGAATCCGAGAACCTTCATGAGGAAGGTTTTGTAACGGTTTTTGGTGG